ATCATCATCATCATCATCATCATCATCATCATCATCATCATCATCATTCGCTGTTCATCGGAGGCACCTCGAGCACGGCCGGGAGCTCTTCAAGAAGTGGGGCTTCCGACGAATCGAGGTGCGAGACCGTGCGAGTCAGTTCGGTGAGACTGGCGGGGTTCGGTTCAGTTTGTGGCGAAGTGGAAGCCCTGAGTGAAAAAAGGAACGAAGGGCTTCCACCTTATTTAAAAATAGGAAACGAAGGGCTTCCACGAACAAAGATGGTCGATGAGGTAATATACTACTATACATGTACAGATTCTACCATGACATGTGTTAATTCAAGATGTTTTACCATGTTGTACAGTCTTTGAACCATCGACCATGGGGGTTCACATGTTCTTGGGCATTCTTGGGCAAACCCATCCAAACTCCCTCCCTTGCAGATCAACAGTCACGGCTCCTTCAGTTAGCTGTAGATGGGTGAAGTACACTCAAAGATCAACATCTCCCAACGCACAGATCTTCCCATGGATTGATCCTCAGGTTCAGCAGTTTGTCTTCCCTTGCTATCACAATCTTTTTAAAAGTTTCCTGTGGAAGGGCAGGTGATTGGCCGAGCGAATGGACGGTGTTTCGCGTTGGGCGTTCGCCGAAGCAAATGCAGGACATTTGCTGGGTCAAGACGAACCGGCAAGCAGCACCTGGGCTTCACTGCCAGGAGGTGGAAGTGAAGCATCACCAGTAGACCATTTGGATGTTCATTCGTTCTCCCCATCTGGGAATGTCAAAGGACCAGATTGACTTGGACATGGGCACTCCATGTCCAGAAGACCATCGCATGCTGACTAGGCGCCTTTTTCGCACGTGGTCGGATGTGATTCTCCGAATGCATGTGGCACCACTTCCATCAGGGGTTGCTTGGAACCAGGATAAACAGGGGCCCACAGTGGCGTACCTAGGAACAGTTGATATCCTTTAACTTTACCATCAATCTTTTTTGGGGGACGGTGGTTAACTTAGTTAACCTTTGTTTTCCAGGGAGTGCTTTGACTCACTCCACCAAGGAAAATCCGAACATCCGTCTCTTTCCAAGGAGTTGGACCAGCGTGGCTCCGTGAAGTGACGAGCCCAGCCCGGGGGGACGCGTTGGGCCGGGTCGGAGCTGACGCTTCGCTTCTTGCGCGTTGGAACGGTCGGATGGCGGAGGAGCTGTTGATCACAGGAAACTTCGAGATTTGGTGAGATGATGAGATTTTGTCACAAGCACAGCTGAAGGCAATGCGAAATGGAAAAACATAGATGATGAGATGATGAGATTGGTCATTTGATCTCGTGCCACCTCAAACATGTCGACTGGAGTGGAAGGCAGTCATGTCTATCGGTGAAGCTTCCATGTCTCGGAGCTGAGCAAGTGGGATCAAGTGGGGGCATCAGTCTTTCTGCCTTGATCAGGTCATCATACCCTCGAAACTGGAGGGGCCAATGACATGTCGTTGACTCTGCTGAAATCGTAGGGATTTAGGACCCTTAAACTGAACACCTTTGAGATCTTGTGAGGCTCCTTGAGTCTTAGGGTGGGAAGTAGGGTGGGAAAGTATCATTTGGCCGAGGTCCACAAGATGGCATTCTCCCCCATCCCTTCTTCCGCATTTTCTACAGACAGCAGTGTGGCTCGTAGACTGAAAGAACCACACCCAAGCAAATCTCTCTTGCAGCTTTTGCATATATAAATAAATGCTGTATTATCCCAATCCGTCCACCCTGTCCTCCATCATGAGCCTAGTCAGCCTCATGATACTCAGGCAGCAAAGTGTGATGTACGGTGACAGCTCCATCATCCAGCGGACCAAAGAGCACTGCCTGGTGGGAGTGAAGGCACGAGTTACCGGTACCGGTACCACACCGGTACCGGTACGGTTCCTCGGCACCTCTTCTCGCACCAGTTCGTGCGCAGCGGAACGGCGGTGTTTCGCGGACAACCGGTTTGGCGTGTTGGATGTGGGTGTGATTCCAGTGATGTATATAAACACGAGTTTGTTTGTTTTTGTTGGGCCCTATCTCAGTCCCCAAAAGATGAATTGAACTGATGTTTGCTTTCTGGAATTGGTTTGGTCATCCAAGTTTATATGAACGGTAGCTGCTTCCCAGGGACAGTTCACCAGCCGTCAAAGCGACTTGGAAATCGCCATCAAGTCTCGGGCGGTGGAGATGATCATGCCTGATATTTGGCCTCACTGAAAGCCACCCCCTTTCGAGCCCCAGCGGCGGTTCCCTTAAGGACATGACGGGACTAGTGGGACTGCCATAGGACTGCCACCCCATTGAACCCGCAAAAAGCACCCCAATACCATGGAGCGTCTGAGTTAAGACATGACGCAATCCGAGCATATCCGAGCCTCCAATCTATGCCTCACCATGCCTCGGCCCTGTTGTGCGTCAAGAACACCACTCCCACTCGACGAGGGCACAGTGAAGCGCTCCGTGGACACGCATTTCATCCATGCCAACTGTGATGTCGATCTCATCATGGAGGAGCCATCTCCGTCGCTTTGGGGATTCTGGAGATGGGGTTTCGGAGATTTGGGGAGGGAGGATGAGTAGAGAGTCTTTGAAGGATAATCTGAACAGTCTTCTAATTAAATTATGGTGGAAGGCAAGGTCTTACTTGAAAGAGCATTACTCAGTCAGAGATTGGAGTTGAGAGCTGACCTCTTTCGGGGCTCGAGAAGAGACACAGGAGGAGAAGAGCTTCGGCTCCACTGCCAAGCCCATCGAGCGCGGCCCATGGTGCATGGTGGGAGCTGGGTGTTACACTCTTGAATAGCAGATCAGTGATGAAGTAGGTAGTTGCAATGACTCCAAGAGATTGAACATTCTCTGCCAAATGCAGTGCTTTTTGGTGGGGCAGGAGGAGTGCCAGTCATCGATTGCCGCTACGTATAGCTAGCAAAGCAAAGACCAGTCGACCAGTCGACAGTCGTCGAGTCTTCACACGGTCCTCCGATCTGCGCCGAGCCGCCGAGCCGCCGACGTTTGAGGCTCTATGAGACCATCGAGCACTTCTGCCTGGGTCGAAGGCCGGGCACTGCGGGCACTTGGTCGAGGGCATGTAGTTGCTCTATCCAGATTAATTCCCGAAGCCAGACCCTCCAGGTTCAACCATCCAGCTTCAAACATTTCAAACCTGGTTCTTGTATGATCAACTCCAGTAAACTGACGTCCAACAACACTGACCTGTAGGGAAAAGAACATCGGACCCAGAGGTCCAGGACCGGACCAGAGGTCCACACGGCCAGCAGCTGGACACAGTGGACACTCCTGGAGTGTCGTGGATGGAGGACTCCTCCGGTCGTGACAGGCTCTGCTGGACTCCGGAAGCGAGCTCTGAAGAGAGCTCTGAGAGATGGTACCTGGGAGCGATGGGGGAGACACTCTCCCACCACTTCGAATTGGGGAAGTCAGAAGTGAAAAATAAATTCAGACTCTTCCACGAAATCTGAAGACATACACAAATTGGCTGCATCACTGGATATCACTATAGGTGTTTACGTCTCATCTTCAACTTCTTCATGAGATCATCCTGTTCACCTCCCTTCCCCCCTTCCCTCCCTCCCGCTCCTTCGTTCGCGGACCTCCGGAGGCGTTTGGAGCTCTTCGGCCGGGACCGGAACCTCCGAGATGGACCGGAATGGGTCCCGAGACGAGACGAGCGTCCGGGACTGGGGGACCATGGAAGCAACGAACCGGCACTAGGCTAGGGGATCAAGTGGCTGGAACTCGTGGCGCACGAAGCGACCACCTACTTAGGGTCGCCTACCATGGTCTAACTCATGACACAAGGGGCCGACTCTGGCCCCCTATTTAGTTCGAACAAAAAGTACGGGTTTCTTCTTTTGGGAGGCCTCTCGGTTCCAGGTTCCACCATGTTCCACCATGTTCCACCATGTTCCAACGATCTGCTCTTCGAACCGGGCGGGACCGTGCGCCACGCATCGGCAGGATGGTTGACCTTGGGCAACGGCCTCACCACGGACAATTGGGACAAAGAGGCGCTCGGCTTGAGCATGGACGACCATAGTGCTGGTGCTGATGGTACTGGTTGTGTGGTGATGGTCATGGTGGGTCTTGGTACGTGGGAAAGAGGATACACTCGGTCCACTCTTCGTCCACTTCGGATGAAATGACCGAGTGGGTTGCGCGCCGCAATGGTGATAATGGATGCACGGTGAAAAACACGGAGTTCGGGTGGTGGATCGACACCCCTTTTCCTATCCAATGGCCCTGGAGTGGTTGAGCAAACAGTTAGTGGTTCAGTCTTCTTAGGGCCTTCAACACTGCGCAGGTGGACCTCACCTGATATGTTTTCTACGCTGGCCCTGCCAGATGTGTTTGCCAGTTCTGTCTACACAGAGAGATCACGATGTACTCTTGGCTGCCAGAGTGCTTGGTGTTGTTGATGGGTGCAGTTTAGATCAGGATAGATCTCGGGGCCTCCCAGGATCCCCAAAGATGTCCGACCCCAAAAGAGTTCGAAGCAGACCAGCGAGCCGCAGACGGCTACGCCTGGACCCAGATCCAATACTTGTGAGGTGTGAAAGAGCTGAGCGGTAACCATCCTGAGACAAAACATGTATTGTGAAATGGCTTCTATCTCTTCAAGGACCACAATACAGTGGAAGGAAGATTTGCTGCACCACCTGGATGCACGATCCCTGCAAATAGATGCTAATGGTGGAATATGATGGACAAATTATATCATTCAAATTCATTCTGCGATCTGCTCCATTTCAGCTTTCTTTTTCTGCACGCGGCACGCGTTCCTTCAGTTGGTTTTGAATTTCAAGTTAAAGACCAGACATGTTCGAAGACTTGGCACCTGCTCTCCTCTCTCGTGGGGGCACGACCCCCCCCCCTCCCTGCGAGCCCAGACCTATCTCAAGTGGTTCGAGGGCGATGTCCAATGGCCCGAGGCCACCGTGGCACCGTTGCGCCGCCGGTTTCGGACATGCTGCGTTGAAAGGATTGGGTCCAAAAGGACCTCATGTTTGCACATGTTCGCTATGGAAGGGGCAGAGATGAAAACCGGGAATCTTAACATACTGTATCTGAACTATATGTTTTTCATTGTTTTTCCCGCGTTCCTGGTCCCAAATCCAAGGCATTCACGGAAGAGATTCGCTATATGCTGAAGCCCAAATCTCTGTAAAAAATCCTCACATCGACCTGTTCACCACAGAGCTGGCGTTCTTCGTGATGTTCTTCATGGGATAGCTCCTGGTTGGCCACCCTCGGGGGTTGTCCTTGGGGCCGGTGTGTGGTGACGGCCGGGAAAGCTGAACTGCCTCCAGATGGGTCCCGGGTCCCCTATAAGCAGATGGTCAAGTTGGATCGAAATGGGATCGACTATGCACAAGGAGAACAGTGTATTTTATGCTTCTATGGCCATCGTGCCATGTGGGGCAAAACCCCCAACGCAAGCGCTCCAAAAGTTTTCACGCAAAAACAACACAAGGAGAAAACACGGAGCGAACAAACTCTCAATTCTTCGATACGGAGCGGCTCGAGCAATCGTGATTTACTTGGTCTATCCGGGTGTCTTAGTATGTCTTAGTCACATAATTCCAAATCCAGGTGGTTTGGCTACTTAAAATCCAGGTGGTTTGGCTACTTGAGTCACATAATTCCAATCCAGTAGCCTCTTTTCTTCAACCCAGCCAAGTCTTCGCGAGACGCTCGCTCGGACAGGTGGAAGACTACAAGGGTGGTCGCCTACTGGGGACAGCTCGGGGGGGTAGAACAATACATGGGGTGAAGCATGGTGAAGCTTCAGAAACTGTGTTTAAATGGTTTCATGTTTTATTAATGTGTGTTTTCTTTTTTGGGATGTCCACATTTTCCTAAGTTCAGTTTCAACTGGTTCTCACCCCACGTAACCATGATTGTTTCAAGGATCGTATGTTTGAGTTGTTTAGAGGTGAAGTCACTGTGAAATCGATTGCAATCGATCCTTTTTTTGAAGTTTCCTCAGAATACAGCGGTACAAACAACGATTTAGATGGAACTTTGACTGGTTTTGCACCACGGGAGGTTACGGAACTCACAAGTGTTTGTTTATATCCTTTTCTTCATCATATGCAAGTTTATTGTTCATCATTTATGTCTAGTGTTTCAAGCGTTTCGTGTGGTTGAGCCATTGATCAAACGATGGTCATGCTGCAGGTATATCCGAGCTGTCTGAACTTCAGTATGATACTTGACACAACGCACTCATGCAGTTCTGAACGGACACTGACAAAAGAAGGCACCTGGGACTCTCCCAAAAACACTTATCAACTGTCCCTTCCTTCAAACCCTTCGCTCGCGAAAGTTAACACAAGATTAACAGACATTTGTCGACCAAATTGTTTTCCAAGGACCAACCATCCAAAGAGAAGTCCAAAGACTCTTTATCTCCAGCAGATCTAGATGATCTATATTTAATGCAATTGGTTGTGCTTTGTTGACTTCAACGGGCTTTTGACCAAAAAATTAAGGGCATGTTGCTTCCTTTTGGGGGGGTGGTGCAGATGAGACTCCCCATCGGTTCTTCTAAAACTTGCTCCAGCCTTCCCATAGCCTTGAAGTCAAAACTACAGAGCACAAGATCTCTTCGCACCTTTGGGATATAGAATTCATAGATCTTTTTCATGCACCACCAGACCACCAGATGGCCTGCCAATCTGTTTCCATCTCGACTCTAAACCATCTTCTGAATGCCGTCCTGGCCGTGCTGGCCATCCCGGACGTCGCCTTAGTAGTACTGCCAGGAGCCACGTTTGTAGCGAACCGTGCTCCTAGGAGTAAGGCCAGGAGACCCCGTTCGTAGCGTCCGAAGGCTCCTAGAAATGCCCTTGTTCCAGAACCGTGGAACCTTCCCCTCTGCCGCAGGAGCAACCCCGAGATCGACACCCTGAGGCCTAAGAGCCCCGTGCGCCCAGGCGGGGACACCGGACGTTCGACGTTCGCATCCGACCATTTGGGTGTCCTGGGTGTCCGCACCCAGCCCACTACCATTATTCTACATGGTGCATTCGATTGGATGGTGTTTTGTTGGAGGATGAATTGCGGAACATGTTCCTCAACCTCAGGACATGCACCAAGCGAGCATCAACCTGCTACAAGATAGACTCACAGACTCCCATGGAGTTGGAGAGAGTAGGATCTCTCTCCTGCGATCTTAGAGTTCCAAACATCTCACCCATCCTCAACCATAGGCGGCAGAGACGCCTCCCAACGACTTCGTTAGCTAGGAAGTGTTCATGGATCACAGCGGAGGGCTGTTAAACCCGAGAGTCCACCCATCCATACCATTCCATTTCAGTCCAAAGGACCAGAGAAGTCACCCACACCCATCCAACTTCACTACTACAGTATTTCAGGTCGGATTCGCTAAGATAGGAGGCTAAGGCAAGCATGTCATGTCACTTGTTAGATGCTTGTTTAATCGTGTTTCTTCGATTCCTGTTGAATGTTTGCAAGGCGTTATGACATCACTTCCTGTGCTTTCACCTTGAAAGATGCTGTTGCCTCCTGTTTTTAACGCCCTTGTTCTGTGTCAAACAGGTGAAGGATCAGGTTAACGGTGCAGAAGCAACCATGTCACCTAAGTGCATGTCACCTAAGACCCGCTTCATCGGGACTTTCTGATGTTCGTGGCGCACACAGGCCAAAATTACTTTCATGATGATCTGCACAACCGTGCTGAGCCACATCCCAACAAAACAATGCCATTGCTCCACCTGCCCAATATCGGTTTAAAACAACATCAGCTTTACGTTACATGGAAATGTCCGACCTTCATGGAGAAAACTCTGTCGTCTTATGTGACCTTCACGGATTCTCCGCAGGACGCAAGCGGTCGAGGTCGTTGTCCCCGCGCCGGCGCATGGCTGGAGGTCGACCTCCGGACGAGTCGGACGAGTCGCAAGCGTCCGCGGTGGTTTCGTCCGGTTTGGTCCGCGGTTGGGGGCTCCCACCATTGGTGGGAGGACACGCGCCGCCCCAAAAAGATATAAAGACCGGTGGGGTCAGGGCTCAGAATGCTGAGCCGAAGTTTAGACGATCTCGCCCTGGGACTGCCTATTCTGTGAATGATATAAAATCAACATAGTAGTCAACATGGATTGGACATCGAATAGTAAGTCCACTCTCTTGTGGACGAATGATTTGCTCACGTGAGGCCCCAGCAGTGGAGCTGGTGGCTGGCGAGCCGCGCGTGCGAGCCGCGACTACGCCGGATCCCCCAGACATCGAGTGCTGGTGGTGCTCCTGTGCGTGGCCTGCGAACGGCGGCGGCAGCGGGTCGGTCGAAGCGTGTGGAGCTGGTGGCCAGCGGACAAAGTGTGGCCTGTCGACTGTCAGGAGTTGTGACTGGACCACAGGAGTTTGAGGTTGTAGGAGTTATTGTTGTTCTTTTTTTACAGTGGTTTCAGAGTAGATGACATATTTAGATGGGGGTCCATATGAACCACCTCTTGGTGATTGTGCCATCTACTCTGAAACCACTGTAAGGGTTCTCTTCTTGTATTCAAGCATGCCATGGTTTTTGTTTGTGGTTATGTGCTTTTCTGCTGGAAACAGAAAAGCAGCGAACATAGCATTTAACCTGAATTTGACTCGACAAGCTTATATTATACAAACTTGTACTCTTGGTTGTAGTTTTCCAATGTTTTCCATGTTTTCTTCAACATGTCTCATCATTCTGCATCATTCTTTGCTTCGATGTCTTGCCGAGGACTACGAGGAGGATGAGAAGCCGCTGCCTGAGGATTTGGGTGAGATGGCTCCGCCCATTCCAAAGGAGGACGATTGAGGCTTGGATGGGCGAGCGGAAAAATGCAGTTGATGGATCCGAAGAATTAAACATGAGGATATTGAACAGTGGATCCTGTACATGGATCAGGGCGAGTGGATCCTGTCAAGTTGAACAGGGGAAAGGAACCGCAATGGCCGGAGATCATCCGCTGACCGCGATTGACCTTGAGATTCATGTAGCACATTCCCTGAAAAGTACTGAAATCTTCCGAAATCATCCCAGAAGTGGAGTGAAAACCACCAAACTTGGGTCTTTGGATAGTGAAAACCATCAAACTTGCGGTTTTCCTTCTTTGGGGGCCGTGCCATCCACCGTGATTCTTCCAAGGAGTGTATGTTGTGTAGGTGTTTTGCTTGGTTCGACCGACGTTTCCTTGGAGGGCAGCGAGGTGCCCCCATGTCCTTATTTTTGTGCGAGATGGCTTGGGGTGCTGAAGGCGATTCATGCACCGGTGAGCAAACGTGAGGTCCTCTAACCGGGACACCTCACTGAAAGCACAAGAAATCAGCGAATTCAACACGTGTTGGTGTATTTGTCCAGACATGAAGTGTATTGTTTCCTATTGCACCCAAGACAAAACATAGCAGCTATAGTCTGCGGAACCGCAGACTTCGCTTCCGAGCCGTCCGTCCCACACGGCAGGCCCGTTCAGTGCCTCACTGGTGCGTCAAAAACGGGACCTCGACGTGCGAAACAACGGGCGATGCTGCGGAGTCGTGGACGGGGTCAGTGCCACGAGGATGAGTTGTATCTGTCAAGAAGCACGGGTTCGTCAAGGGAATTTGCAGTAAGATACTGTAGGTGCGTCTTGGAATGACCACAAGTTTGATGGCAGTCCAAATCAACTGTTATAATTACATTGTTTGTGAAGAATTCAACACCCACATGAGCAACCGCATTTATTCACCAACATAAAGAATAGCTTGGAGGTGGCCGCATGTTTCCCCAAAACGTTGTGGCCCCGGTGAACGAGGTAGGGGTAAGCTATAAATCGAGATCTCCTGTACATGTATAGTGCTGTGGCATAGGTATGTCATGTAGAAAGCTCGGAAAACGAGACTCCAGACAAGCAATATCAAAATCAATTGAACGAGATGGGGGACATACAGCCATTACATTTAGTTAATTAGTATTTAAGAATGGTCGTCGCTCACATGATGTCATATATGCTGGGCCAGGTGCTGGTGTTTCTTTTTCGCGGTTCCCTGGAGAGCAATGTGAACAACTGCCTGATGTGAACGGGGGATGACCATCCACAGGTATAATATATTTATATATATATATTTATTTATATCCCAAAAACTCCATGGGACTGCCATATATGCCGATCAGTTGCGGTGGCTTTGGGGGTCAATGGGGCGGCATATATGGCAGTCTCATGGAGTGTCTGCATGGGTATATAATTACTAGATCATATATAGGACAACCATGGAAAACCTAACCGCACGCGCCGATCTGTGATATTCCAGACTGCAATGCACTTTGAGACAAAGATGTAAAGGACGCCCATGCGGTTTCAGCAGATCATAGGACTTGTAGCTTCCCAGGCTGGTGTACCTGCACCTAGTGTTGCGATCCAGCTGGACAATCCAAGCATCTCTTGAACCAACCTCACCAACGTCTACATCCAACAACCGTTAGAATAGAACATGTTAGAAGTTAGAACTGTTAAAACTGACAAGAAGTCCAACCTGGTCACTGGTCGCGAACCTCAGCTTCGAAGAATAGAGAACCCGACTCTACAGCGAAAGCCCACTCTTTGTATACCAGGCACATACACAAGGCTTTTTTCTGTCCAAAAGAAGTGACAGATCAGATATTCAGAGATACTGAGATACTGTATTCCTTCGGATAGGAGAAGCCTCTCCACACCCACCATTTGGAATATTTGTTTATCTATACCATCCTCAACCCAGACCTTCCCTGTTGCCCCATCCTTCCCCCACTGGCATCCACTGGCCACGCTCGACAAGAACGCCGGACCGTTGTCCGGGCGTGTTGTTCGCCGAGTGGCTGGGTAGGAGGCGTGGGTGTCCGACCTGGTGATTAGCCTTAGGGAAGGGTGAAACATGAGGTTGAAACATGTGTTCTTTTTGCCAGCAAGCAGTGAATGAATTCAACTGTTAGGCGCTTCTGCTCGCCGAAACCTGCAAATGTTGCACATCAAATTGACACATTGATACACATTGTGTCATTGTGTGTGTGTTTTTTTCCAGCAAGGGGTGAGCGACGGCAGACTCTGGCTGCATGACTGGCTGCTTTCACACAATGATGACTCCTGATTGAGCCACATCGTTTGAGTCACACAGCGCACCACAGCGCACAGACGTAGCCCTTGTATGTCATTGTCTTTTTGATGACTTTTGCTGACCCTGAAATCTGATTGTCCTCTAGAACATCTCCAGGCCGATGGAGGGGGTCCCACCTGCCTTTGAGCCGCCACCCCAGATGTTTTGGATGGGCCGGCAAAGTTTTGCCATGCAGATTGTCCTTGACAGTTCTCTCCAACTGCCTTTCACATGAAGACACCTATACCTTGCGATGTTTTGCCATAGTTTGCCTCTTCTTTGCAACGCTTTACAATATGTTGCTTATTATATATTGAATTGTTTTTTGCGACTGTTTTGTCTCGGTTTATGGTGAAGCTTAAGAGCTTTTGTAATACCCTCACAGTAAGGTGCGGTTGATGTTGTGCGTTTTCCCCCAACAGCAGTTGCAAGGACCATCACCAGCACCCTCCCATTCTGATTTCTTAAGCCCTCACCCTCAGTGGAAGGCTAAACAGGTCGGTGGTGTTTGAGCTCCAAAAGCCCTGTCCTGTGAGGGTCACAGCACCCAGGTTTTTCAGGACCCTAGTTACACTATGTTCCACTATGTTCCACTATCCCACACGTACCCCAGCTTAGGGGGGAGGTCCTCCCTCTCAGGTGACAACCCACATCTTAGCATGTGACTTCACCCTTCGACCTACCTCGCCTCCGCCCTCCGAGCTGCGCGCCGCGTTTCTCGGAGCGTGCGAACTCCGAGGCCCGTGGACTTCGGTGACCTCCAAGAGCTGCGCGCCCGGCGCGACTTGAGCGTCGCGAGCGGCTCGTGCCTGCCGCGACGCGCGAAGAGGTTCCGCGTTTGTGACTGCCAGGGCAGGCGGTTTTTTTGACACGGCCGCGGTGGTTTGGGGGGAGCCTCAGGGCGGTGTTACTCGGCTAGATGGACACGTGCGGCTGGATGAACATGGAAGGTTGACCCAGGCAAGTTTGAACACGAGCTGCTTTTCCAAATAAAAAACAAAACAAACAGTCCGGAAGCAGGCCGCAGGCCGTCTTTCCGTTCCTTCCCGAAAGAAACCCATGCACATCCAGGAACCGGAGTGTATAGACCCCCCCCCCTTACGCGCCACAACTTCATGTAGGCCCTCGTAGCCCCGCGGCGCCGGTTTCGTTTGCGGCGCAATAAGTTAGGTTCTCGGGCGTGCCGTGTGCCCCAACCTGCCCATGATGCCGTGGGCGATTCGCAGGGTCATACGACGTGCCAACCCATGTGCTCGGTGCAAAGACCCTTCCCCGTTCATTTTGGGTATGGAGTTTATGTATAATCATGTGTCATTTGTCATATTCTTTCTTTGATCGCTAGGCCAAACCCTCGTGCAAGCTTGGGTCAACTCCCTTCTTGGGCATATCAGCTCAACCAAACAATGCATAAGCATGACCCTCTGGGCGTTGGATGCAGATGCCGTGCTCATGATCGTGAAAGCTGGCTTTCGTTGGCAAAAGTCATGCATGACAGATGCAAGACATTTCAAGGTCCGTAGCACCACTCAGCTCATTCTTGGTAGGAATTTGGGCCTTTTCAGGTACGTACAGCAGGATTTCCCCAATACAGCAAATGTCTTAGTTGAGGACCAAGTATGCAGCAACACACGATATGCCGATATGACGGTTTTTGTTAGATGTTGAATCTGAATGTTTTTGAGATTTGTTTGAGAGGATGTGGGCTCTGCGCCATTCCGCTTATTTTCTTTCATTGGCACCTCCACGTCTTCTTTCTCCGCAAGCCATCCTCAACAGCAGCAAACCGCCGTGGCAGGTTAGAAAGCGTGCAGAACGGCTCTGAGGTGTCCGGGCCATTCCGAAGATTTGGGGACTGAACGGTCAAGAGTAAACCCTAAGGGTCCCAGCCCTCCAAGCGGAAGGGTCCGCCCCGAGGGCCTCGGGTCTTGGTCCGTCCAAGAATTCCGAGTACATGAACGATCCTCCCTATAGGTGCATGTGCACTGAAAGCAAGGTCTTGCATGGTCTTGCTGTGATTTGGATGGTTTGGGGGCCATCTTAAACCAAGACTTCGAGTTGAACAGTGCCCAAATCCACACCAAACGGGGACTCAAAACAAGTCCTGTGTAATTATTACACATTTAGTACACCTTATAATTTTGTCTTGTGAACTTGTGAGCCAATCACTGCTTGTGACTCCTTCTGGCGCCAGCCTTCGCCAGGACCCAGTGGCAGTGGCGCTTGAGCAGGGTGTTGATGAGACGATCCTCCGATGAAAGGGATGCATCTGGTCTTGTCACTCGAATCGGTGACATGGCACATCATGGAACATGAACACTTCGCCCCCGAAAACCAAAAAGCAAACATGAACATATGATTATGCCTGCAACAAATGTTCAGTCATCCCCCAAAAACAACATGTGGGATCAGAATCATCAGACTCTCAAATTGGGTTCCTCAGACCCCGCCCACCCGGTGCATTGAGGCGAGACACGCATGTCTTTTCTCCACCCTAGGAAGAGAGTAGCTGGTAGCATCGACCATCAGCTGGAGCTTCTGGAGGAAGAGAGTGCACGGGTGCCCCAGTAGCTCGCGCCAAGGCCCGGCCAAGGGGCCAGAGATTGATATTATACCAGGACCCTAGCTGTTAAGGGGTGTCCATTAACCACCCATTGGGGGTCTTGGTATATGATATTGTTTTGATATAGCTATAATTATGCAGGTTGAAAGCAATGGTTTCGGAAGAAAGCATCTCAGGTGTTGTGGAATCTATAGGGCAACCGGTTGATTTGATCGAACCAGGCTGCTTCAGCTGCTGCACAAACTTTGTAAAATCAAAGCTCATAATTTGCAGATGACTGTAATTAGATGTATTATTTATACATTGCTGGGTCATAACTGAATTATTTGGCATTCCAAGATATTCCGAGCCTTTCTTCTTGAGATAAAAGCAACCTTTAGCATGTTTATATACTATATGAAACAGTACGGCATGTTATATACTATAAGTTAAGGCAAAGTCACAAACTACTGACTGACTGAGTCATTAAAACAAATAGTCTTCTATCAAACACTGATGGGGGACTGAACTTAGACCAACGGACAGCACCAGGTTGGCGACTATGTCGGCAGTTTCCAGTCCTTCGAGGACGGCTTGGCAAGGTGAATCATCCAAGGTATGGAACTTCGTTGAACTGGGTACTTAGTATGTTGGATATATCCCATTACCAGTGGATGATGATGGTTAGTATAGACCTTTCTATAAAATACCGACTGTTACAGGTATAGTAGTTTTAGACGTGACTGGCACCCGAAGATGTCTAAGACGGATGCGGGTCTATATAAACGACCAAACTTGGGGTAACTTGTGCCATCGAACCTCTGAAACCACCAGACTGTAGTTGAACTGGATACTTACTTGACAGCACGTTTATGTAGTTTTTTTTACCCTGCTTCCTACTCGGTGGGTTCTCAAAATACAATACTCATCCGTTGGAAGCTGCAAGTGCTTGTTCATGTTGTCCCTTCGCGTTTCAATTCTGTTCGGCACAAAGTGTCCAAGGTCTTGATAAAGAGCTAGAGCCAGCCGTGTGGTTCACATGGTAGCTCATGACCCAAAAGTCTGACGGCTCCGGAGTCTGGTTTTTAGACACCAACAAAAATCTAGATGTTTTATGTTTGTATTATAGGGTCATAGGGTGTGTCCAATTTGCCAATAACAGTACTTCAAAGAGAAACATCACTATTTTTGAGAAATGATGGAAAGGCCTGCAACTTCAGGCCCCATCATGCATTGGTATACCTGGTATACCAGCAGAATGACCCAAGACATATCTACTGACCTGGGGGAGTCGAACCTCTTTACGTCACAGTGCTCCTTCTGCTGCGAGGAGCTGCATCAGGAGATCGTTGCGACAGATTCTCTCCTTGAGAAGCGCCTTGGCCTGTGAAAAACTGGAAGTACAGCCATTTTGAGAGCTACTGGAGTGGGTGAGAAAATCTCAAAAACATCTGTATACATGGTTGGCTTTTGTGGGTGGGCAGGACAAGAGTCTGGACTCACGCAAGCACTAGGGCCCAGAGATTGAAGAATGTAGATGTGCAACCTGCGAGCCATGTGATTAGTTTAAGCTCAATCCTTGATGTCGAATCCAGGATGGAGCGCATGCTGGGCACGTGGGGGTTCTCAGATGGCTGGCAAAGCAACATGCTGTTCACTGCGGAGCTTCGCGTGCAAGAAGCAACGTTCAGTTTGTTGAAACATGTCTGTGGAGAGGCTGGAATACAGGAAGACTCCTCACACATTTGGGGCGGTGAAATGTGATCAATGCCTAGTGGCCTCCTGCAATGAGTGTTTGAGCTGAGCATATCAATGAGCTCCCATTGCACTTGGAGGTTCTTCCCTCTTCGATCATGAAGTTCCCAATGTAGTTATCCCAGACAAGATCTCCGACCTGATATTATTTGTGTTTGAAAAGTGAGATCCCCAACCAGTGAATTGGAACCTGTCGCATGCTCGTTGCAATTCATCCGTGTTTTGCCTTGCTTTCCACACAGCTAGCTACAGCTAGCTACAGCTAGCTACAGCTACACAGCTCCCGTGGCGCTGTCCGTGCTGTCGCAGGTTCCAATCGGATCTCTCCGGCATTTCGGACGAGATCCGAATGCTTCAGGCGGCGGTTCGGTATGGACCGTGGTCCGCCGCGCGTCCGGGAGGATGGTCCGCGCGGGACTGGGTTTTGTTGGAGCAAAGCGATGCAGGAGTTCGAATTGAACCTCCTGTAGGTCGAATTTCATGGTCAGCCAGAGGAGCTATATGAACATGAAGGTTTCACTTGTGGACGAGGAGAGGTGTCAGCAGAAAGTGGTACCCGTTCCTTTCATTGAGCGAGGATGAACAACTATATAGTTAAACCAGTGTCCTGTCAGTCTGAACCTAGGCCCATCTAGGCCCTGACCACCCGAAGACAGAAACATTCAAGGAAGATACATGGACTTTTGGTTGGGGAACCAAGCTCCGGGTCGAGTGCCCCACCATAACCCTTACACACACAGGACCGATCTGTGGATTACCCTCATCCATGATTGGAAATCATGCAGTATTTAGAATCCAGTGATTTAGGGATTGACCCTACCCCATCAACATGTGGATTCATTTCAGTATTCATGCTACTGTCCATCCACAGCAAAACCCTCCCTGCAGGGCCAATCCTTGCAGATGAACCTGAAGCTGCAAGGGCCTCATAAAGGAGTGAAGTTTTTCATTCGCAGCGACCATGAGCAGCACTCAGGACAAACACCTTGCAAAAAGGTCCCTTTGGTTTATAATCTATAAGACTTTCTACCCCGGTGGGTGCCGAACTTGGTCTTCAATGACCAAAACGAGCAGAGGATTCTGGACTTCACGCGGGCGCTTTGGTTAGCGCAGAGTGTATAATATACATATATATATATATGTAATGCATGTATGTACAATTTTCGAAGAACATGCTGGTATCCCCCAGCCAAGCTAACATAGCAACCGACGTATTCATCCTATCTTAGCTGTGGGAGAGCTTTTTCCTCCTATCTTACGGGTCACGCTCATCTATAGGACCAGCGTGTTATTTCATCTTAGCAAAAGCAATTAATTGGCAGTCAGAGTGAGTCATTGGCCCCCTGAGCCACATTGAGGCGTTTAGCAGATCAACAACACTTTGCTGGAGGTCATTTTCCAACACACATACAACGATTTGGTTGGGACGAGGTCCCATATATTTTGAAGCAAGATTGTCCATTGAAACAGGACTGAGCACTCAGAGATACTCAAGAGCCCCTAAACCCAACGATGTCAATGGTCGATCCCCCTGAGTGCTATGATGATGTTTGCATGTGTTTTGCACAGAAACCCAAACAATCTCATGATCAAAGGCCAGGACGCGGGGAAATACCTGTGAAAAGAATAACGCATCAAATTTGCAGAGGGTCGTGCAGGTGCTAGCATCCCTCCAACTGCACCAGACCGTCTCACGCAGTTCGGACGCAGTCAGGCAGAACCGCCGTGCCTTGCAGTCCTTGATGTCCGACTATGTCGCTTAGTTCATTTTCAGTACGGAGGGACGGCAGGAGGGTGGGACGTCCGAACTCCCTGCCCCCATGGTGGCATGGCATACGTTTCTCGGGTCCGGTGGGTCCGACGAGAAAAGCTCGGACCCGTCCGGGATTGGTGCGACATGTCGCTCAGTGGACCGGCACAGCTCACCTGGTTCCCTTGAGTTGGCTGTGTGAGTCCACACGATCGCAGGCAGCGGTCCGCGCATGCGGCGCTCCACATGAGGATCCGGTGAACAGCCGGTCGAGCGGAAGTGGGGTCCGGCGCTGTTCAGGTCTGAGCTGTTCGCCTCTGGGCAGCTGTCAGCTTTCTCTCACCCCCGCGCAAGCACCAATGTGTTCGCCCCCGGTGGTGGCCTTTGATGCTTGGGGTTGGGTCCAGAACATGGTCAGGTTGAAGCTGATGCATTTTTGGGGATTCCCTCCCTCGCCATGGGTGCCCTTTGGTTTGTTTCCTTTGTGACCTAGGTGAGCTCGGTGGTGGTGAGTCCGCAGCTGGTGCGGCAAATCTGCGAAGAGGAGATCAATGAGGCCAGGCGGCCAGAGGTTGTGGATATGTGTAGGGCTGATGATCTGGATCCCAGCCTGAGTGGCTGTCATGGTACTCATAGTCGGTAGTAGCCAGGGCCTTTTGTGGACCTTTGCTGTACCATGTGGGTCATGGTAGACCGCGCGGCTCGACCGCGGGCACGACCTGCCGGGTGTGCTTCGGTCTCATGGACTGCGACTCGCGGTGGAGCTGACAAAAGGCATTGTTTTTGATTGGTTTGGTTGGGAAAGTGGCATGGAGTGTTGATTTGGGGAGGGCCCGGAGGGCAGTGCTGTTCCACTTTGGATTGAAACATTAATGATGAAACCATCATCCTTTCTTTTTCCATCATACCAACCCAAAGCAATGCAGACCAAATGCATCAAGTCCTATCAAGTCCAACGGCCCGAAAAAAAGTCAAAACACGGACAGAAAACAGAGACTGCCATTTCCCAGACGCTCCATGTATGGTATATATGCCTGCATTATCCCCGTAAAAATTTCATCCATAAAATCAGTCCCCCCAGGCTCCTGCATAGAACGGTTCTACGAACCACATGGCTCTCCAGAAGAGACTCCAAAAGTGGGGGACCACTCATTTTAATTTTATGGACAGCCGTTTTTGGGTGGACTCCTATCCATTTTATGGAAAGGTAATCTTCCTATAATCTCAGATCAAAGGCGGTTTCAGGTGCTGGACTCCAGCCATTCTATAAGCACAGCATTCTTGAGAAGAATACTAAGGAAAGAACTAAGGAGACTCAGGCTTTGTCATCTTCATCCTGCTGGCGTTCATGGGCCTTAGCTTGGGAACGCCCAGCCCACAAAAAGATAAAGAAACACTACTTGTAACTAGTACGCCGAAAGGTGTAAAATAGCGCCGAAAGGTGCACCTCATTTTCTTTTTCTTTAGGAATCGTTGGGCTCAACTTCCAGTGTCGGCTATTAAAATCCGACACTGGCTAAATAGGATTTTTGAGTGTGTTGTGTATTACTTCCAGCGTCGGCTATTAAAATCCGACACTGGCTAAATAGGAGATTTTTGTGTGTTGCCAGTTCTGGTCTTTTCCAGAACTGGGTGTGTGTTGTGTGTATTACTTCCAGTGTCGGCTATTAAAATACGACACTGGCTAAATAGGATTTTTTTGTGTGTTGCCAGTTCTGGTGTGTGTGTGTGTGTGTGTGTTGTGTGCGTGTGTATTTGTTTCTGTCTGGGTTTTGTTGTGCAACTTGAAGGAGAGCCCGGCCCGCAATGGTAGTTTTTTGGAATGGGGGATTGTCCAATGGTATATGCGAAGCATATACACTTTCAATGGAGCAGAACATAGACAGAGACCGTGCACTGCAAGAGTGAGAAATGTGGTTGTCCGTCATTTTCAGCTGTTTTGTGAAGCCTAGATTTCTCTGCCAACATGACCCCTTATAAAATGGCGTTTTTTTGAGGAACTGTGTGCTTGAGCGTTTATCTTGACACAATGAAGGTCTGGAAGGAGGTTGGGGTAAACCAACTTATGGTTAGGCCATTTTGAGGTTATTGGCAGTGTTATAGGCTACAAAGGTGTCATTTTGGTTGGTTTTGGTCGGCCTGGGCTCCCCATTCTATAGTGAGCTGGTGTCCATCCTGTTAGCTGGGGTCATCCATTCTATAGAGCAAAAAAGGTAGGCTCCCCCATTTTATTACTATAAAATGGTGAGTCCGGACTGACCATGGGAATTTCAACGGGGATCCTGCATTGGTATGGTTTGAGGGGTCAATGTAGGCATATATGGCATACATGGAGCATTTGGGTTTTGCTAGCATGGCCTTCGTTTTCCGAACACGGCGATGGCTTGCGTGCGTTGTCCTTTTTCGCCACGGTGAGGCCTACTTGGGCTACCTTTCGGAGCTCAACAAGAAGTGGGGCGACCCAGGTCCAGCATGGTTTTCTCGGCTTATGCTCGAAGGCCTGCTTGGCATGCCCGCGTGGTAACGACCTGTTTTTAGGGTGATAGACCTCACAACTGAGGTGGCATGTGTTCGCTCAAAAGGTGGGATCAGCCTGGAGGGAGCAGCCTGTTGTTGCAGTGACTGCGTATTGCAAGGATCCTGTGAATCTCGGTGCATCTGTGTTTGTTAGTTACAGGCAACTGACAAAGTCCTACCCAAAACCATCCAAAACCATGCGCAATCCATGGGGGAAGAGCAGGCATCACATTGCCGTTTCCCTGTGCTGTTACTATTACTTTAGTTGTGCCGATTTGTGCAGTAAATGCCTTGCTGCAAGTCATTCCAAGTGGCCCGATTACCTCGAAGAACATATACTGCAACTATCTACCAGCAGTCACCAAGGGGTGTCTATTGGAGGATAGGGCTGCCCATTATCCACTCACTTAGGGACAAAAAAACCCTTGGTGACTCCTGGTACAGTGGTTTCAGAGGCGAGAAATGGCACAAGTGGGGCCCCAAGTTTGGTGGTTTAGATGGACGGACTCCCATTTGTCTAAGACATGTAGGTAGTGGTGGACTGGCACCATTTCTCACCTCTGAAAACTGCCTAAAGACAAAAAGGACACAGTCTGAACTGCCTATTTAAAAATATTTGGGCAACCAAAAACCACGTTCTTATCGCTGTATACGGTGGTCTTTGGGACATCACCCGATGTTTGTGAACCGCGAGGATCCGGCCAACCCACGCCTCGTGCGTCCGCGTCCAACTTCAGCTGAACCACCCGCCGAAGCTGGTTGGGTCCCATGGGAATCAGGTGACCCATATGAACTGTTTTTGGTTGGTCCAGTTCGTGGTTGAACCCATAGGGGTCAATGACCAACGCGGCCGGTTTCTCCTTTGGTGCCAAGAAGGCGTGTGAAACACCGGTGACCACTAACTCTAACTCTCCTGTCTTGACCGGCTTCTGTCGGCCTCGGCGAGGCTGGACCATGTGAAGCAACAGGAGATGCAAAAGCTGTCGCCTGGCCTGAGCAGCTGGAGCTGATCGACCTGGATCATGGGCCATCGCGTTTTGGGGATTCACGGGTGGTTGAAACGGTGTCGCTTGCTTCATGTTGGAACGATCTTGAAGCACCTGCTTTGAACGGGTGATGTCGTATCCTCAAAATCACAACCAACTTCTGGCCTCGAGGCCGAAAAACAGGAAATGTTAAAGTTTTGGCACTCTTTCGGGGTGGACCAGATCTGGTGAAACTTCTGAAAAGTGCAGAGACCTGAAACATCTGGAGATCCACTTGGTCCATGCCACGTGGGTCGATTCACTAGTCGGTCGAACCTCTTGTGGCTCGATCCCCCTGGTGTGAAGAGCTCAAGACCCAAGCCTACCATGACGCAGCTCACACAGCTGTATGGGTGCACATGTCAGGTTTGGGAAGGGAGACTACCAGGGTTACCATGGTGCCAGGACGTGAATTCCCCTTGAACTTCCCGCTTTGGTGGAGCAAGACGCACCGAGGCCCTCCTGCGCACAAAGCGCTCCGGAACTCGAAAAACTGCGAAGCAAGGCGAGCTGGAGGAAGAGAGGAACGCGGCACGCGATCTCTTTGCGAACTGCCTGTTTTTAGGGATCTGACATGATTTGACCACATGATTTGACGCGCCAGGGACACGACTTGGGTAGTAAAGTACTTTGAAGATCTCCTTTCTGTGGCTGTGTCAATATGTGGCTATGTCAAATGTC